AGTGGGAGTGAACAAAGGTAAAAGGTAATTAAGATCACAGTTAATTGTACTTAAAGAAAGTTTCTCTTTAGCCTATCTCTGTCTATCTCTCTGTCTGTCTGTCTCTCTCTGCCTCTGAGAAAGGCTCTCCCTTTGTCACTCATGCTGGAGGGCAATAGCTCCATCACAGCTCATTGCAAGTCTCGACCTACCCGGCTCAAGTGATCCCTGTAGTCCCAACTACTTGGGAGACTGAGATAGAAGAATCACCTGAGCCCAGGGAGGTCAAGGCTGCAATGAATCATGATCGTGCACTTGCCCCCAATTCATTTTCTATGTGGTGCTGCTCTTTCTGAAATTCTTCTATGATTCAATATACATTCACATGAGCATTCCCTTTTCAATTTTCCCATCTTCTGTACCATGCTTCTGTGTTGTCTGGAGTGCTCAGAATCTGTTCTGTATGCACTTATAGACCACTAATTTGGCAGAAATGACATTGGTGACGGAACAGGAAAACTGTTGTGTAAGTGTTTTCCTGTCCTACTGTGCACATAATTATTTTTGAACGAGTCAGTAATTTTACTGGCTTCTCCAGGCAAATGCAGAGAAAGCTATTAAAAGCTCCTGGAATTTCACAGCTGGAAAGAATGCCAATGCAGACAAATTTTTAAACTCAAGTTTTTGTCATTGCTGTATTATGCCACCAATCCACTCATTTGATTTTTTCTTCTTTGCCAAAATCATCGGACTGATTGGAAAAAACAATCTTTATTGATAACATCTTGAAATTCACTTTTAGAAGGCTTGTTCATATCTAATTCTGAATCTGTCATTATGGTTTGGGAGTTTAGTTGGAATCCTTATTTTTTTTTTTTTTTTCTGGAAACTCTGCCAAATCTTCAAATAAGCATTGATAAATTTTTTTTTTTTTTTTTTTCTGGAAACTCTGCCAAATCTTCAAATAAGCATTGATAAAGTGCTTCACTTTTTCCAGTCATAAATAAATAAATGAATGGATACGTTCTGAAATTTTCAGATCCAGTAGGGCCATGAATAGTACCTAGTTGATTAAAACACAGTGGGGACAGTTTTGAATGTGCCATCTGATAACTTACAGGTCACATTCGGCAGGCTTCCAAATTAACTGCCTGAGGAAAGTCTTGTGGTTCACAGCTTACTTCCTGTACTGGAGTAAAGAATTATATTGTTAGTCCCTCAAATCTTACTGTGAGTTACTCAAACTGTTGATATACTGATTAATAAATGACTTACTGACATTGAAAAGGACACTGGTTTGTTTCTAAATCATAAAGTTTTGCTGATTTGTTTCTGAATCATGAAGTTGAATTGATTGTCTTGTACCTAGAACGTTTTAGCCTGTATGTTGATATCTGTAGCCAATGATGGTAACCTCTGTATTGTACTCTCCAAAGATAAAGGACAAGTCCAATATGAGAATTCCCTATCTCTTCCCCTAAACTTCCTTATAAAAAAGCACTCCAACTTGTAACAGACTTTGGAACATGCTCAACTTTGTTAGGTCTTCCATGTCCATCCTCACATTCAGCTTCCAATAAATTTTTATCAAATTATTTCTGCCTCAACAGGCTTAATTTCGGTCAACACATTCATGAGCCAAAGTGAAGCGTGTGCTAGTTTTTCTGTGGTACATTTTCAATAGAAAAAGCCTATCTTAGGATCAATGCAACAAGAAGAGCTAACAATCCTAAACATAAAAAAAAAAAAGAAAAAAAGAAAAAGCCTATCTTTTTCAATAGTCAAATCCCTAACCAAGAATAGGTCACTGTTTAATTTTTTGTAACACTGGAGGAATCTCAAAATCAGCAAATGTCTTTGGTTCAGAAGGTCTGTGAACTTGAATTCTTTTTATTCTCTGATGCATTTTTTAAAAAGGCAAGCATGGCGTTATGTGTGAAGGGGCAGGAGTAGTACACAACTGAATAATCCGGCAGGAGAGATTTCTTTTCTTTTCTTTCTTCTTTCTTTCCTTTCTTTTTCTTTCTTCTGTTTTTTCTTTCTCTCTCTCTCTTTCTTTCTTTTTTTGAGATGGAGTCTTGCTCTGTGGTCCAGGCTGGAATACAGTGGCCTGATGTCAGCTCACTGCAACCTCTGCCTTCATGGGTTCAAGCGATTCTCTTGCCTCAGCCTTCCGAGAAGCTAGGATTACAGGCACGTGCCACCACATCCGGCTACTTTTTTATTTTTAGTCGAGATGGGGTTTCACCATGTTGGCCAGGCTGGCATCGCTCTACTTACCTCAAGTGAGCTATCCCCCTTGGCCTCCCAAACTGTTGAGATTACAGGTGTGAGCCACGTCACCCGGCCTCTTATATTTTTTCCTTGCATTTTCATTTCTTTGATGATCTTTGAAAAACTAGAAACAATTCCCCACGCAATCCACTCAGACTCAGAAACTAATCTCCTCTGGAAATACACAGACACACCAAAAATAACGCTTTATAAGGTCTCTAGGTATTCCTTAATCAAGTTAAATTGACACCTAAGATTAAGTCCACAAGTCTACCGCTTGTCAGCTTGGCATCCTATGCATCTCCTTAAACCACACTTTGTTTCCAAATAAGGAAAATGACAAGGTAATACTTCTGCCTAATATGCTGCAACTATCCTGTGTACAACTGTGAATGCACTAATTGTGATTTTGGGAATTTTAGATGTTAGGAATCTTTACCTTTAGGGATTTTGATCTTTAGAAGTAATAACGTCTGGGATTACGGCATTTGGGATTGCATCTTTTGGAATTATGGTTGGCACTGCTCTTACTCTCTCTCTCCTGGATTATTTATATTGTGGGACTCCAACTGCCATGTCATTATAACACTCAAGCAGCCCTCTCTAGTGGTCGATATTCTGAGGAACTGAGGCCTCTTTCCAAATGCCAGTAAGGCGTAAGGCCTTCTGCTAACAGCCGTGCAAGCATATCCTGCAGACCCAGTTAGACATGCAGATGACTACAGCCCTGGCCAAAAGCTTCACTGTACCTTCAAGCCAAACAAATCCCAAACCAGAACCACCCAGTTAAGCTGCTTCTAGATTTCTTGCCTGCAGAAATCATGAGATAATGCTTACTTTTGTTTCAAGTTGATACATTTAGGGATAATTTGCTCCACAGCAACAGAGAACTACTACAATATCTCAGCGTAATCCAGGATACCTCAGTGGAGTCTCCAGCCAGCACTGAAAGGAGAGTCACAGTGCAGCTTTGAGGGTTCTTGAACAAGGCCACACCATCTACAGCAGAGAACTAGTCGCTGTTCAAATAGCATATCTAGGCATGCTGCTCCATGGATTCTACTACTAACCGAGAATAAACCCTTGACCAAATAGCTGTTTGACCAAAGTGATTCATCATGAGCTGAGTACTATTGGATCCACCAAGCAGTAACATTGGGTGACAAGAAGACATTTCATGATGGAAATAGTATATTTGGCATCAGGTTTAAGGCAGCCCATGATTACATAAGAAGTATTAATTTTTAATCAGATTGAAGTAAGTTAAGGATGGGCTAATGCAATCTCTTGGTTAACCACTAAAAGAATGATTTTCAAATGTGTAGTCTTTGACATTATATTCTTAATCCCAAAATTGCTGAAAATGAAATATTTACTCCAATTTTAAAATGTCTAACAAATTTTACTTAATCTAGTAAGAGGTAGAAATTATTTTTCTTTTTACAAAACTGTGTCACTTGCATGAAAAAAAAATATTTGCTTTAGAATGCATTCCTCAGTACTGGATATATTATTGAACAATGGAGGGCTAATAAATGGCCCTTCATTATTGCGAATGGGAAACACTGTATGAAATGCTATTTCAGGAGAAACACAAAATAGAAGACATGATCTTTAAGTTACCCAAAACTCGACTCTACCAAAATACAATACATCATTATTAAGATGGTATTTTAAATTAAGTTCTTTACTTTAAACAAGAGACCCAGATGGGTGCAGTGGGCTCACGCCTGTAATCTCAGCACTTTGGGAGGCTGAGTGGGGGGTGGATTGCTTGAGTCCAGGAGTCTGAGATCAGCCTGGGCAACATGGCAAAACCCTGTCTCTACCAAAAAAAAAAAAAAAAAATTAAATCCGGGAATAGTGGCATGCACCCTTAGTTCCAACTACTTGGGAGGCTAAGGTGGGAAGATTCCTTAAGCCTGGGAAGCAGAAGTTGCAGTGAGCTGAGATTGCACCATTGCACTCCAGCCTTGGTGACAAAGCTAAACCCTATCTCAAAATAAAGAAGAAGAAGAGAAAGAGAAAAAAGAAGAAAAAAAACCCAACACAACAAGATGCCCATTCAAACTGTCTCAAGTGGAAGTGGGACTTTGGAATCCAACAGATGTAGCTTAGCTGTTCCACTTACTAGATGTTACTTGGAAAAGTTAGTTGACCTGTCAAGCTTTGATATCCTTCTATTTAAAACAATAATAACAGTTACCTCACAGAGTCTCAGCAATTAAGTTAGATAATGTATGTCAAGTTAAGTGGCTTTCTTAAAATACTCCATGTATGTTAGCTATTACTATTATGCATATCCCAAGGTCAGCTGTGCCCTTAGGGACTGTACTTGGTGTTATGGACTGAATGTCTGTGTCCTCCCAAAATTCTTATGTTGAAATCAAATTCCCATTGTGATGGTATTTGGAAATGGAGCCTTTGGAAGGTAACTACGTCATGAAGGTGGAGCCCTCATGAATGGGATTAGCTCCCTTAAAAGAAGACGCCAGAGAGCTAGTTTACCCTACTTCTTCCACTTAAGTAACACAGTGCTCCGTAGACCAGGAAGAGGATGCTCACCAAGAACTCAATCCTGCTGGAAACCCGATCTTAGACTTCTAGCCTCCAAAACTGTGAGTAGTAAGTAATTGTAGTTTTTACCACCCAGTCTATGGTAATCTGTGACAGCAGCTTGAATTGACTAAGGCAAATTATCTATTAGTAGGGTTCTCCAGAGAAACAGAACCAGAAGAATACACGCATATGTAGAACTAGAGATTTATTTTAAGGAATTGGCTTATGCCATTGTGGGGACTGGCAAATTCAAAGTTTGTAGAGAAGCCAGAGCTTCAGGTATGAGTTGATGCTGCAATGAGTTGGAAATCCACAGGACAGGCTGGCAGACTGGCAGGCCTTTGTTGGGACTTTTTTGGTCTGTAGCTGTTGGTGTTTCCATTTTCCAGCTTCTTCAGCTCCAAGTCTGGGCTACATGAGGCAGGAAGAAAACCCAGAGAACTCAGTAGGTGTTGCTACACGGAACCCCTGGGTCCAGGATCCCTAGCCAGTCTATCTCCTCTCCAACTTTCAGGGTCTTATATTTTTTTAATATACAATTGTTCAGGGTTTTTAGCTTTCCTTAGTGGGAATAATAGTGAAAAGTCCACTCCACCTTCCCAGGAGCAGAAGTATTCAAATTATGTTTTAAATGTAGCCAAACTTATTTCTTTTTGTGGTTTCTGGGTTTCTCATGGTTTCTCCTGGGATTATTTTTTCCACATTAAAATCTTAACCATTTGGAATCTCATCAGATAAAGTGGTTTTGTTTGAGTATTTGAATTAGCTAGCTACATTCCCCTGAAATGGTCAATTATGTAGCTATCTGATTTATTTGCTGCAAAGTATGATCACCATTTGCCTTTGGCTGTTTATAAAACTAGGACTTTAAAGGGTATATACAACCAGCTCTGTGAACCAGGATAGAGCTATCTTGGGGGGAAAAATCTGCTCATCTACTGAAATAATTATGAGAAGAAGAAAGTTTCTTTTTACTAAATTTATTGTCTTTGTCCATAGAAATGATGCTTTGATATTATCAAAATTTACATAACCATTCCCTATTCCAATTTTAAATAAATATGAGGTTTTTTTCAAAATAAACATCAGTAAATAGGTGCAAAAATACCTCGTGTTGGTTTTTTCAACAAAAATAACGGCAATCTGTCAACGAAAAGAGACAAACTCTGTAAAATATTCAAAGAGATTTATTCTAAGCCAAATATGAGTGACCATGGCCCGTGACAGCCCTGAGGAGGTCCTGAGATCATATGCCCAAGGTGGTCCCAGCGCAGCTTGGTTGTATACATTTGAGAGAGGCATGAGACATCAATCAAATACATCTAAGAAATACATTGGTTTGGCTCAGAAAGGCAGGACAACTCAAAGCAGGAGTTTCCAGGCTATAGGTAAATTTAAACATTTTCTAGTTGATAGATGGTTTAGTTTGTCTAAAGATCTCGGATCCATAGAAAGGAATGTTCTGGTTAAAGATAAAGGATTGTGGAGACCAAGTTTTATTGTGCTGTGCAGAGGAATCTCTCAGATAGCAGACTTCAGAGAGAGAGCAGGTTGTAAAATGTTCCTTATCAGACCTAAAAGGGCACCTGGCTCTTAGTTGATTATCTCCTGGATCTGCAAAGAAAGGAAGGAAAACAAAGTAGGGAAGGGATTCTCTATAGAAGTGGATCCTTCCCATGCAATTTCAAGGTATGGCAAAGAAATATATTTGGGGGTTATATATTTTTTCCTTGTCTCATAATGTTATGCCAGGTCACAATGAAAAGCAAGTCACAATATACAGGGTCAAATAAAACCCATCTGATGAGAATTCATGGTTGTAGGCCATGTCTTCCCAGACCCCTTAAGTAGAAATTTGGGCAAGATAAATTATCAGAGGTTAGTCCTCAAATCTAATTAGAAATTTGAACTGTCATTGTTAATTTTCTAAAGAATATAATCATAAAATTCGAGTTATATGCCTTCATTTTTCTTTTACCTATATTTCTATGTATTTAACTTTTTTAATTTGCTTGTTTTTTAGTTGCCACAAGATAAGGATTCTTTGGTTCTAAGTGACAGAAATTCAAATGGGAAATGCATTTGCTCATGTAAGTGGACCTTGTAAACCCCAATTGTGGACTCTGTCAGAGCCTACTGGATTCAACAGCTCAAATAGTGTTGCCTTTCTCTAGCCCTATCTCGATGGTGTCCATGTAGAAACTGCATTTTCAGACGCCTTCACATGTTAGGAGTCATGGCCTCAGACAGTTCTGGAGCCAAATACTTGTGCTTTACTATTGCTCCTGTTAAATATAGGGAAGCCCAAATTTCTCTTTGAAGAATCAGTATGTCAGAATGTTCAGCTCTCTTATTCTTTAATTCTCCATTTTAAAGTTTGACTTCCTTGCAGTTTCAGTAAACAACCTTTTCCACCAGTTCTAATCAGTAGTTCACATCTGTTACCCCAGTCCCCTCCTCCATGCTGACTCATCCCAGTCACCTGCCCCAGTCACCTGCTCCGGTGCCTTTTCTGAACATGGGGTGTATGGAGACATGTTTATGATGTACGCCTGTGCATCTGGAGTTCCTCTCTGAATATGCTTACTTTCCTTTCACCCCACATCTAACTCCTTAAACTTCCCCCAACTTCCCACAGCTTGGGAGGTAGATGTCTTTAGAGCACAAGCTCCCTCCTTTTCCATTCCTGGCCAGGAATAAAACCTGCTTGCCTTTTCCCCCTACCAATTGTATGTTCTTTTTTTTGCAGCAAATGCAGAGCAGGGAAATAACTCAGTACTGGGTGACAATTCTTTCTGCTTTTCCACAACCCTCCACGGTATCCAAAGACAAGGGCCATGCCCTCTTGCCAGAGCCCTCCACAGTGTGTAACAGAGTGGGGTGAGGAAAAGGCGAACAATGATAACACAAACATCACACAAAATCACTAAAATCCCAGAAACTCAGGTAAAAAGCATGTCAGTGGGAGAGGAGGGGCTGGGAGGGCTCCTTTACTACCAAAAGATAAATGCTCATCAGTGTGTATACAGGTGAAGTGCTTGGATGAATGATTTTATTTTTTTCCAAGGGAGGCTTGTCATGATTAACAAATTCAGTCTAAATTCACCTGCTGGATTCCTAACCAGCTAACCCTCAACATTGAATTTACTCAAAGTCATCCTACAGCCAGCATGGTATAGGGTGTGTGTAGTATAGAAAAAAAAAAAAAAAAGAAGAAGTGTTAGGAAGATAAAAATCTGCAAGATAGGCCAGGCACGGTGCTAACACCTGAAATCCCAGCGTTTTGGGAGGCCAAAGCGGGCTGATCACCTGAGGTCAGGGGTTTGAGCCCAGCCTGGCCAACATGGTGAAACCCCATCTCTACTAAAAACACAAAAATTAGCTGGGTATGGTGGTGGGCACCTGTAATCTCAGCTACTTGTGAAGCTGAAGCAGGAGAATCACGTGAACCTGGGAGGTGAAGGTTGCAGTGAGCCAAGATCGCACCATTTCAATCCAGCCTGGACGACACGAGCCAAACTCTGTCTCAGAAAAAGAAAAACCACCAAATCCAGAAGATACAATTTGATCAGCAAAGTGAGGTAAGAATTCTAGTCATTTTGTTCTGCAATTGTACATATTAAAATAATTAGTACTTTGCTGGTCTCCAATATTTGTCAAGTTCCCCATTATAAGTTTCCTAATATTTCTCTAATATTTGCCACTCCCAATAATAAATTATAAAACAAGATGAGTTGTTTATATTTGTAGGCACAATTTATTTTAAAATCCACACAAGAAACTTAGAAACGCAGCACTATCTTCAGACATCACACTCTAGCTCTGTTTAAATACCACATATGCTAAAAACTGATGCCAGGACATTCTCTAAATGACAGTTACAAATCAGTTTCTGGGAAGGAAGTGCTCCATGAAAAGCTTATAGCAAAATAAGTCAGTTTTTCAGGTGGAGTATGGCACGTGAATTAGCCTTACAATAATTGTGTACATGGTATGTTTAGCCATTATTTAATCAAAAGTTTCAGGAAGTACCTTTTTTAATGCACAAGCTGAAAGAACCGTCAATATGCCTTTGTTCCTGCTGAGGGGTCTGCCATCCTGGAGGTACAAATACTGCAGACAGAACATCACCACAGGACTACGTACAGTTCAGACTGTTCAGGATCATTTCTATATAAAACTACAATTAGCTGAACTATGGCAAAGGTCCTTGAACATATAGCTTTTCTTCATTTCATTGAATTTTAATAAGTAGAATGTCACTACAGTAAATGCTGTTTATATGTATTTCATTCACATATAAGTTATGATTTCTCTAACTGCCCATCTCTGTCGCTATCCTTTTTTTCTTTCCTGAAAATCTCTCTTCCACACCTGCTCTGCTTGTCACTTTGTTCTCTAAAGCCTATATTTTTTCTTTAAGGGGATCTATTTTCCTTGGAAACAATTGCTGGAAAGCCAGCCTCAGAAAGGTAACAGGAATGTTTTTCCTATATTTTGAAACAAAAAAATTTTCCATAGGAATATCCATTCAATTATAGAACAGAAATCAATAGGAAATTAGGGCATGGCTAAGAGGGCTTTGCTTGAAAACCTCTATTCTATGAAATGCGGAATCCTGCCAGGGTGACATGTAGGTATAACGAGGCAAGGAGGACACATTCCCATGAGTTTCCAGCTCCCTGCAGGGTGAGGACCATCCACACTGGCACTTGCTCTGGCTTTTACTCCTCGGACACCTGTGGACCTGCAGGAGCATCCTGTAAGCCTTCCAACCCAGCCTCACTTTCAAGAGATTCTTTCTCTTCTTCCCTGGAATCTTTAGGATTGGAATCCTTTTGGGAGATACCCACTTCATCCTCTGGTTGCTCTTCATTAACACAGTTAGAATTGACGTCAAGTTTGTGGTCTAATTAAAAAAAAAAGAAGTTGTTATTTTGTTCCTACCACATGTCAGACACTCTTCCCAATGCTTTACACATATTATTTAATCTTCATATCAACTATATGAGGTATATTATTATCTCTACTGTCATTGCTATCATTATTTTACGAATAAGAAAACTGAAAAGACGGAGGCTTGGTAACTTGCTCCAAGAGTCCTAGCTAGTGAAACAGCAGAACCAGCATTTGAATTCAGGCCTCTGGCTCCAAAGCCACCTCTAAATCAGGATTGTTGCTTGGGATTTAACAAAGCCTGTATTTGAACACAGCTCTTCTCTGAATTAGTTTGATGTCCTTGGAGAGGTAATTGCCTGCATGCAGTTTCTTTTGTCTATAATATGGAGGTAATAAAGGCTATCCTACTTTGGTGAAGAATTAAGGTGTCTGAATATTTACAGCAGTGTTTGACACATGGATGATGCTTAACAGCGGGGAGTGCCCATTCTACTGACAATCTTATTCTCCATCAATGGTGTGTTAGTAATGAACATTTGTTAGTTTCTGTACTTAGCACATAGAATAAAAAAGTTTGGTCAAGAAAACAAGAGAAGGCATGGCAGTCAGAAAGCCTGACTATTCTCTTAAGGATAAATGGTTTAATTGTGTACAAATCATTTAATTCCACTGAGAGTATTTCTCAACCCAGTAGTAAAAGGGATATGGTTCCTTGAGGGGTGGAGGTGGAACTGCCTGGTATCAGAGTAACCAAGGCAGCTTTTTCAAACTACATACACTCCCTCAGAACATACGATATATTGTCTAGAGTGAGGCATGAAGGTGGGGGTGGTTATCCTTTCCAATCGAGAATTGAGTTGCTGAAGCAACTCACTATTTCTGATGAAAATGGGTCATAAAACCTCAAGGGGGTGGAGAAAAAAATAATACAAAATTCACTGCTCTGACACTTGTAGAAATTTGCTTTGTGTATTAGATCTGCAATTTAATGAGTGATTTATAAATCTACTCTGTAATTTCACCTGTAGTTCTGAAATTTAATTAAGGAATTTAAAGGCTTCCACTCTCAAAATCTTCTGGTAGCCATTAGTGGAAATTTAGTTAATTCCTTATTCAAAGACTTTAAAATCCTTCATGAGCAAAATATAAGTTAATACCCATTAAGAGTCCCATTGTTCCAGGGCAGTCACCTAAGCTAGACTGTAGAATATGAAATAAACTACATTCCTCAGAATTTGATGTCTCTGTTTTCCAGTGATGTCTAGGCTGACTATATCCCAGTAATTTAAAAAAAGGGATACATTTGAATTTAAATGTGATTCTTACATTGGTCACTCTTGAGCTCCTCTGGCTTCCAGAGAAGACTCAGTTCCAGTGTGTTAAGATCACTTATCATCTCTCTCTCCACTAAGATGCCAAATGAACTCGGTTTTTATATACATACGGTTCTCCTCTCGTCTCTTTTCTTTGGCAGCCTCTAATTGTTGCTTCTCGTAAATGTCCTTCAGATTCTTACAGATTTTCTTATGAGTAAACCAGTGTATTTTCTGGCAGGTTTGATCACAATATATTACCTGAAAGCAATTGTAGGTTTATTTTCATTTTAAGAGCTGGGATTGTATGATTTCCCTACTATGACATTAAACCAAGAACTATGCTGTAAAAATGTTGTTTCCCATACTTTATTTTAAAACCGTAATATGTGGCTGATATAATTTGGATGTTGTTCCCTCTAAATTGCATATTGAATTGTGATCCCAAATGTTGGAGGTGGGGCCTGGTGGGAGGTGATAGGATCATGGGGGTGGTTTTTGCATAAATGGTTTAGCACCCTTCCCTTGGTGCTGTCCTCAAAATAGTGAGTGAGTTCTCACAAGATCTGGTTGTTCAAAAGCGTGTGGCACCTCCCCTGCCCCTGTTGCTCCAGCTCCTGCCGTGTGACATGCTTGCTCTCCCTTCACATTCCACCATGATTGAAAGCTTCCTCACACCTCACTAGAAGCCTGTGCCATGCTTCTTTTACACCTGCAGAACTGTGAGCCCATTAAACCTCTTTTACTTATAAATGACCAAGTCTCAACTAATACGGTATCTGTGTATTGATTTAGATTTGTACCTTGTAGCTTTACTTTAAAACAATAATGAATATATAACAAATAGTCTACCAAAGACTTCAGCAAACAGCTTATTATAAACCCACTGTGCCAGAATTGGTACATTACAATGTCAAGGAAGATAGCGTTTTGTCCCAAAGGTAGATAGGGTCAAGAAAAAGAAGGATATGGAAGAAGGGAGAGAGGCAGGCACCTAAATACATAATTTTTTAATACAGTACAAGATGTAAGCGTGATGGAGGCATAGAGGAAGCAGTGACTCACCCTAGCTGCGGTGAGTCAAGGTAGACAGAAAGATGGGAAAGAAGTATTCCAACTGGAGAAAATTTCTTTTACAAAAAATGCAGGAACAGGGAAGTGAATGATATGTTCAAGAACAGCAAGAAGTTTTTGTAAATGACCTTATATTTTTGCAAGTGGGGGTGGAAAGGAGACGGAAATGAACTTCATTAAACACTTATTATATGGCAAGCACTGTGCTAGGCCCTTATACATATATTGTATTATTGGCCCCAATTCTTCATTCATTCCTGCATTCATACATTCTCATGATTTCAAAGTTCTCTGCACTGAAGAGGAGGAGACTTGAACTCAGATTGGGCCATGTGATTTGTTTTGGCCAATAGCATGAGACAACATGGCAGTTTCAAGGCTAGTCCTTGAGAGACCTTCTGTGGTTCTAGCTACATACCTTTGCTACTGCCATGACAACATGCTCAGCCTAGCCTGCTAGTATAAGGAGGATGAGAATCACATGGCGCATAACTGCCCCAGCTAACAACAGCCAACCACAACTGTGAGAGAAAGATTAAATGATTATTGTTTTAAACACTTTTACTGTGTTTTCATAAGCAGTGCTAGTTAAAGTATTTCCATTTAATTCTGGAATTTCACTTAATTCAGGAAAGTGAGGTTCAGAGAAGTAAGTCATTAAACAAAATGAAGCTGAAGAAGTAGGTGATAGCAGGTTATAATGGGTTTCATTTCATCCTTAAAGTCAACAGGCAGTTGATGCTACCTATGGGATTAAGTGAATGTACAACACGTGCATCTGTCCAGTATGTGGATGTGAGAACGATACTATCAGATCTGCCTTTTACAAAGATAATTCCGGCAGAAGGGGGCAATACAGTCCATAGGGATGAAAGATTAGCAACACTCAGAAATTGCAGTTTTATAAGGACATGTTGATGAAGAGACTGTCATTAAAGTAAACATCAGAAAACTAATTATATATTTATGAACTGTCCTACTCTAGGTTTCACATCTGCACCAGCCTCAGTCTCCTTGCCCCACAGATAATCTTTATCTTATTTTCTCATATTCATTCATTCATTCATATCCTTTCTTTCCATGAGGTGATCAGCAAAGAGGCAAAGGAAGACTGGCAGTTTGGCAGAAATTTGGCAATTTGACACAGTATAGAACTA